AGCATCGGATATAACCGTAGCCACACATATAGCTTTCCATCAAACAGCACACGTGCTGACACACACCCATTTCCCTGGCTTTTCCCGCCCATTTCCCCCTGCCATTTTCCCGCTCAGCTGCTGCGTTAATCCTTCTTCTCTTGGCTTATTTATGTGTACTCGCCTTCTCTTATTTGGATTTTTGAGTTCTTTTCCTCTGTTTTTTTTTCCCCCAGAGGCCAGAGACAATGCCTGTGCCGCCGGCGACTTAATGCCTCGACTATTAAATTCAAATTTATTGCCTATAATTAAATTTTTTTCGTGACGGAAATCGCAGGAAATTGAGCATCCAGCCAAACGAAAACAAGCGCCCAAAAAAAAAAATGCCGGCGACTCGTAATTCATTTTTCGCAGAGGAAAAACCTGACAAAAGTCAATGGGTGTGGGTGATATCGAGATAGTGTGGGAAAAGTGTGTCAGCTGTGCGTCATAAATTGAATGAAATGTGTGTCATATTGGTGGGATTTATGCATTTATTAATACCTCTGCCCCCGGAGCATATTTTTCTGCCAATTAAAAAGCCATACGCTGGCAAAGGGAAAGTTTACCGATGACTCATGAGTTGCCATGAGTTGTTTTTTGGCCAGCTGCCAGATTGCACTTTTTAGATATTACGTATCAATGTTATGGTATGTTATGTTTTTCACAAGGTTGCCGATTTTCAATTATGATATGACCAGACAGTGAATACATAGAGCCAGTCAAAAACATTCTCCTTAGGCGGCAGGGCAAACGGGGCGTATGCGCAATGTCTTTTCATTCGAATGCTAACTGAAATTTATGGGGCATACGTGGCATGCATTTATATTACGTGCCTTGCTGCCGTGAGTCCTGCTTGGCAGTAATTTCCGCCAGCTTGGTGGCTGTTTTTGGCTTTTAATGTGCATAATTAAGCATTAATTACGCCCCCGCCATTCATCGCAGTAACCCAGAAATGCCTGTTTTTACAGCGCCCATTTATCTGGACGCCCCGAGATGTGCGATATGCGGTCGTTTAAGGAGGAATGGGATTGGGAATGGTAGCCCCCATCCGTAGACCGCCGACAACTGACCGCGCGTCACCATATCGGGAAACCATTTGCACAATTTAAGCATTTAATTGCAAATTTATTATGCTTATTCTGTGGCCATTCTGTAATTGATTGACCGTTGCGTTCGGTTTATATATGTGCTTAAATTTTGTGGATTGCCCTGGGAAAGCGAAAGCAGCTGAAGGTGAACAGCTGTGGTCTGTTGACCTTTATTTGTGCACGAAACAGAAATTGGGCATTTTAATGATTTTCTCGACTGCTGTCAGGTTACAGTGGCGAATCTTAGAGATAAAATGTTTTGGTATATCTATAAAATTTAGAAAGCATTAAGTAATGAACAAAAATGTATCTGAAAATGATCAACAAATTTGTAACTTCTAGTTAAATCTAAAATGTTTTGTAAACAAAAAATAAAAATCAGTAAAATACTTAAAACTGAAAGAATGTATGTGCTAAATGATTTAAAATATTTATACCCGTTACTCGTAGAGTAAAAGGGTATACTAGATTCGTCGGAAAGTATGTAACAGGCAGAAGGAAGCGTTTCCGACCACATAAAGTATATATATTCTTGATCAGGATCACTAGCCGAGTCGATCTAGCCATGTCCGTCTGTCCGTCTGTCCGTCTGTCCGTCTGTCCGTCTGTCTGTCCGGATGAACGCTGAGATCTCGGAAACTATGAGAGCTAGGCTATTGAGATTTGGCGTACAGATTCCTGAGCTTCTTACGCAGCGCAAGTTTGTTTCAGTAGACTGCCACGCCCACTCTAACGCCCACAAACCGCCCAAAACTGTAACTCCTACAGTTTTGATGCTAGATAGAAAATTTTAACTGAAATGTATTGTTCTCATCAATACATATCGATTGACCCAAAAAAAAGTTTGCCACGCCCACTTAAACGCCCACAAACCGCGAAAACCTGTGACGCCCACAATTTGCATGCTAGATAACAAATTTTAACTGAAATGTATTGGTGTCGTCAATACCTATCGATTGATCCAAAAATAAATTTGCTACGCCCACTCCAACGCCCATAACGCTTAAATCTGTCTACCGCCGGTAGGTGGCGCATTTTAATCTCGCTTTGCTGCTTGCATATCTCCATTTCCCTTTGAGTAACGGGTATCTGATAGTCGAGGTACTCGACTATAGCGTTCTTCCTTGTTTTATTTAAGTCTGTATTGGTTGAAGCTAACTAAACTTAAGTAACTTTTAGTTACATAGTTTCTATTACACTTTAACTTTACAAAATGTACATATTGAACCGAAACAGGGAAAACAGGTAAAGGGTTTTATTTAAATCCACAAGAAAGAAAATAACTAAACTAAATCCTTCTTAAATTTAAGTAACTTTTAGTAACAGAGTTTTCATTGTATACTTACATACCTGTATGCAAAATGTGCAATTTAAAGCGAAAAATGAATAAATAAATTTGTAAAATCTATAAAATTAAACTTGTACTAAATACTGAAACAAAAATTGATTTGCAATAGTTCATTTAACTTAAGTAACTTTTAGTTACAGAGTTTCCACTGTATACATACATATCTGTATGCAAAGTGTGCAATTTTAAGCGAAAAATAAATAGTTTTGTAAAATCTATAAAGTTAAACTCGTACTAAAATTTTTTAAAATTCCATTTGAGCAATAGTTAAATTAACTTAAGTAACTTTTATTTACAGAGTTTCCACTGTATTTAATTCCCTTATTGATATGGCTCCTATGTATGCAAAATGTGCATGACGGAGCGAAACATGGAAACTCGTTCGGCACATTTGACACAGTTTGCCAGAGTCAATTTATTAGCTCGATTTCCCCGCACCCCGCCATGCAGGAAAATCTGTTGAAATCCGGAGAAACTTTTCAGAAATTCTCATGCAGACGCCCTCGCACCTTTTTGGGCAACTTTGGTTCCAATCCATTGGACAGCAGCGACCCGAGAGTCCGCTACAGAACTTGTCAATTACCCAGAGTGCCAGGCAGATGGGGCAAAGTATGCCAGCGAATAAATAATATTTCATTTGACATAGTTTCCAGACAGAGAGAGAGAATGAAAATGAAAATGAAAAAAAGAAAAGTAAAGGAAAATAATGAAAACGCAGTGATGAATGCCAGCGGCAAAGTTGAAAAGGCAAGAAATGTGCTTTGTAGTTTAGTCTTTCATTAGCTGCTGTCGCCATCATCGTCACGGCTGGTTGTTGTCAAAGAAAAAAGTCCGCAGTCTTACACTCGCAGAAAAAACTTGTAAATTAAAAATGCGTCCGCAGAGAGCGAGGAAAACTAATAAATAAGCCGGCAGCTCGGCAAAGCGGCAGCACAAAAGCGGAAAAGGAACGAAATGAAAAGCGCAAAGGAAAATATCTCAGAATGCAATGGCAGATGAAAGACGACAAAGGGGGAAAAGTGGCACAAGTGGCATGTTGCAATGTTAATTGAAGACAAATAAGAGCCGGCGGAGAGCTGTTGGTGTTGAGGTTACTCGATGAGGCCGAGATCCTGAGGCCTCCAAAGAGGAGTGTGCAAACGGAAAACCGCAGCCCCAACATCAAAGGCTGCTGCAGCCGAGGAGAACCTAGTCGAGTGGGTTGATGGTGGTGCCTCCGATGGTGGTGTCCTATGGGTGGGCGGGTCTTCACGTGACAGTCCGCAAAGACCCCAACGACTTTGAGGCCCAGCGCGAATTGGAGCGCAGCAGTTTTAAATTACTTGCGGTCTGGGCGAAAGGAAAAGCAGTAAACACAGCGCGGAAGTTGGAACTTTAGCCAGGAGCTAAGCCAATAAATGGGACTCTGGAAACTTGGCTTATCAGGAAGATGTAGTGCTTCAAAATTAGTTCAATTAATGTATGAACAAATGTACCAATATTAAACATTTTAGAAAGTGTTATTGGCAATTAAAATCTTTGGTCGTAACCAGAGAACAAGAGAATAAAAAGTTGTGATATAACATTTTTGACGAAGATGTATAATACGATCCACTAAATCGGTGGTGCCCATTTGCCTGACTGATTTAATGATTCGGTGATTCTATGACTCGATTATTTGATGATTCGATGATTTGATGATTTGATTCATAAAAATTCAGGCATATTGTATTGCAGCGTGCCGAATGAGAAACATTTGGAAAGTGAATTATACATATAATACATTTCGTCACAAAAGTTGATATCAGAACTTTGGAATGTTAAAGGTGCGATCGTCACTATTTTTTACCTCGTTAGGAGGTGCTTTGGTTTGATATAACAAAATACAATTTACATTTATAGTAGTCGGTTTCGCAGACTCTCTACGCAAAGTGTTTCTTGAGAAACGTATTATAAGATATTTAAAATGTGTGTCTTATTAAAATGCTAGCAGAATCTATTAGTTTTCAGTTAAACACAAGTTAAAGTAAAAATATTTGAATTTAAATATACGTATTTCATTTAAGCTGTAATTACTACCCAGTTAAATAGTTAATTTCCTCCCCTCTTTAAAGTACTTGTTGTTATTATTTTCAACCAAATATTGTTATACCCCCCTTTAGTCGCATTCCACTCACCCCATGTAAACGGAAAATCCGCTTCGTTATTGCCACTCCTTTACATACGTTTAAGTATTTTCCCAATTCCCCATACCCATTTCCCATTTCCCATGGCAACCATTTAACGTTCAGCTCTTTGGGTGAAAAAAAATGTCGCTTTAATTCGACGCCCGCCGTTGCGTATACGTAATCTGCCACTTAAGTTGACACCATTTCAAACAGTTGAAAAGCTCTCGGTGAATCTTCAAAGGGGGGTTTTTTGGCGGAACCGAGAAGTGACAACGAGCTGCTAAATTGCAAATATTTGCAAATTTTCAGCATTTCTTTCTGTTTGGTTTTGAAAGCTCATTAAAATTTAATGACTCGCCACTGATGAGCTCCGTTCTGGTTCATTCTCGCCCGCAGGTCGCACCCACAATGCCAACTATGCACTGTACCACATTGGACAGCCGGCGACGGCGGCAGTCAAACAGTTTGCGGAATCGGGGCGAACGGATCTCCTGGACAGCAATGCCGGCGAACAGCAGCAGCAGCAGATGCAGATGCAGATGCAGACGGGGAAATCCCCTTCAGGTGGCACTGGGTCCAGTTTCAACACCACATCCAGTGGCACCACCACTACCAGCTCGGAACGCAGCGTGTTCGACGAGTTCAGCATGCCGGCAATACCACTGGGCGCCGGACGCAGTGAGGCGAAAGTGTTTGTCGACAGCAATCACAGTCTGGTCTCGCTAATGACACGCATTGTTCCCTCGCCGGACTGGTTCATCGGCGTCGATTCGTTCGAGGTGAGAACACGCACCCCAAAATCACAAAAATCATAGCGTTGAAATGGTGAAAATACCATGAATAGAGGGAGAGAGACATTATTCCATTGGGGAAACAATGATTGGTATCACAAAAGGTTGATCAGCATTATACATTTTCAGAATAGGTAGAAGGATATTGTTGGATCCTATCATTCTCAAGTTCAATGATAGGGGTTTTAATAATCCTTGGTTGCCTATAAGGAAACGTCGATAGTTTGTAATAGTAAACCAAGAAATAGTCAATCTAAAATACTTTCTTTTTTTAACTTTAAAATTAAATTTCATTTGTGTAGAGGCAATTTAAAATAGATTTATGTCACCTAAAAAAAGTATGGGTTGCATTCAATGAAGTTCAAAAAAGTTAATATTTCCCTTGATTAATTACAATTATTCAATTCATTGTTATGTTAATAGGTAATTGCGCAGCTATAGGATGTTTTTAATTAACCCACATTTATGTGTTTTTTTTTTGAGGCAATATTTAGTTCATTTATAATTTGCTGGTTGACTAGCTTAGCTCTTTAAAATAATTAATTATTTTATTCTGCTTAACAATTATGGAATTTTAAATGTAATGTTTTTCTACATTAGAATGCAAGATATAAATATTTAAAGGATTTCTTTAGCTATAAAATAACTTCAGTGTCCCTAAAACTTCTTTAAAATTCCCTGATCCCTCAGCTCTGCGTGGGTGGCTCCTGGATCGATACGGTGACCGTTGAACTGGATCCCTTGGATGCGGGCACGGACAACGGCTTCACCTTCACGGCGCCCAACTGGCCAACGGCTCCGCAGGGCGTCATCTATCGGATCACCTCCCGTTATCCTGGCCATCCTGCGGGTAGCTTTTATTATCCGAAGAGCAAGCGATTGCCGCCCATCGCCACGTTCCAGTTTATCAAGGTGAGTGGACGGAAAACGATCCCCCACCCCCTGACCGCTGACCCCTGACCCCTGACCCCTGGCCAAAAAAAGGTTAAACAAGTTAATTAACAGCAAATTAGCAGTCGAAATGCCTTTTCCCCTTGCCACTTCGCACCACTCGGGAAACCCTAATGACTTTTTCCAAAAAAAGAAAAAAAATACAATATACAGAGCGAAAAAATCAAAGTGCTAATGAGCCATTAGCATTACAATGGCGTCAACAGCATCTACCACACTCGCACACACACATAAACAAACCAGCCACTTTTCTCGCCATGCAAACATGTGTAATGGCCGTGCGTGTTTGTATGCATGAAAGGGTGTGTGTGTGTGTGTGTGTGTGTCTGTGAGATGGTGTGCGTGCGAAGGGCGTATATTCCCTTGGCTGCGTGTTAATGCGCTTTATAAATCAGTTGAGTTCGCAGCTTGGAAACAGGGAAAAAACAAACGCACGAAATACGAAATGGCCAACGAAAAAATACCGGAAATAATGCTAATTACCTTATAATTATTTGGGCCAGCATTCCGTGGCCATGCAAATATGTGTTAAGAGGAAATGTAAACAAATTAAAGCAAATTTGACAGTCACGGAGCTAGAAATTAATATTAAGGGATTTCATAGCATACATTTGGGGGGCAGTTAAATACGTACATTGTATAATTATTTCAAATTGTTATCGAATTTTAATTTATGGAATTAAAAATGGAAGCATGGTAATAGAAAATGGAAATTTAAAACCATTATTAGATGTATTCTATAATTGACTTTAATGTGTAGAAATATAAATTTATTAAATTAGAAATGGCGTTTAAGCCAATTATAGTTAGATTAATTGCGTTATTAGCTGAATTTTATTACGGAAATTATGAGAAATTCAATATAAATTGAAAACGTATAAATGAAAATCTAAATAAGTAGTTGAATTAGGACTGCATATCCGTCATTAAATTGCCTGCCAGCATAAGAAATGTTATTCAATATAAACTGATTGAATTCCCATGCTGAAACCAACAGCCCTCAAGGATAATTTCACTTACCACGCTGAAACATGTCCTGCATTATCCTTATAGAGGCACAGCCGAATTCGCCATTGTTTTCAAGCGCTGCAATAAACATTATTCTGCACTCCTTAATAAATGCCAATCCATTAGGCCTGCCAGACACAAAGGACAAAGCCAGGACCTCCTGCTCCTGCAACAAAGAACCCTTGGCGGCAGTAAAAACGCCCCAATAGAGAGGGATACGGATACATTCCGAGCAGGACAGGCTGGAATTCGAGCATTGTAATTATATTGCTGGACATCCAAGACATCCAAGACATCCAGAAAGTGGCGCACTTACGGCTACAATGCCTTGGGTCGCTCATCAAAATTGCTTTTATGTGTGGCCAAAAGGAAGCGGCCATAAAATTTATGCCTCGGGCTCTACGTCCATTTTGCCCCGCCTCCCCTCGTCCATCGCCAGATGTTTCGACTACGTTTGCATAGTTTATTTCATAGGGGCAGTTTATATATCTAGAAATGGGGAATTGCTATGTGGTCAGGGGGCAAGTGGGCGTGGCTGCCCACTGTATGTACGTGCGGTCATTATTCTTTATTTGTTGCTGGAGCCCTGGGTTATTGTGCTATTGTTGCTGCAGCTCGTATTATTGTAACGCCTTTTTGACACTACTAATTTTAGTTTTATTTTCTAGCCTTTTCGGAGTGGGCGTGTGAAAGCGTCTACTCCTTTTGAAGGCGTTTTTGATAGGGTATCTTAGCTAGGTGTTAGCGTTAGCACAAATTGGATTTGAATAATGCTCAATAAATATAGAATTTTTCTTGCTAGGAAATGAAATTCAATTTTGGTTTAACCATACATTCTTGATAATTAAGTTTTACATTTCATTTCATTATTTCTGCTTTCTCAAGCTAATATTAAATTTGTTATAAAAAGCAATTAAGGCTCAGGCTGCTTAATTGGTTGACCATTTTATTATACAACTTTAAGTGGTTAGCATACCGCTTATAAGTTTTCTGTACAACTGCCTCCCCAGGGCAATCAAAGTTCGCATTAGTGAAACTAAAATTCTACCACTTTACCATGGCCCAAATCACCCAAGGCTGCCGACTTTTGTTTATGGCCAACAGAATGGAAAGTTATTTACTTATATGCGTTATTTTATGGCCATGGCCAGCACATGTCTAAGGTTCTAGTGTAATTATGTGTTGATTTGCTTCCCCAGAATAACGCCATCGCCCAACAGCTGGGGGTAGTTGGGCATTAAATTCTTAAATTCTGGGCTCGAGACCGAATCGCTGGAATATTTGTGTGTCATTTAGTGAATGGCAAAAGGCACGTAATCTCGGCAGCCGGGAATGCTGAGGGTTTTCACTCGCCGTCTGGGTAATCCACAAGGAATTTCACAGTTTTTCCAAACCCCCCTCCCTGCCGCACTCTAGCTTTTTGTGTGTGCTGGATTATTGTGTATTTTAATGCCACCAAAGCAACACGCGGCTCTTCTGTATTGTTTTCTTTTTTCCTGGATTTTTGTTTGTTATTTTTTTTTTCCTTAGATTTTTTTCGCTGTGGTTGTTGGCGCCTCTGTCGACGCATTTGCAGAATGGAGGTTCCAAGAGGTAGACCAAGATAAGCCACCCAAAAGCGTTGGGGACTATAATAACAATGCGTATTGTGTATAGAAAATGACAGCGGCCCAAACAAATAAATTAAAATGCGCGACAGCGCGCCAAACAAAGTTTTTTTGTACCCTCGACATGTCCTCGGAAAGTGGGGTATATTGACTTATAGGGTTTTTTTTGGCGGCAAATGAAAAAGTGGGTATTAAGGTCAATAGTAATAGTAGTAGAAATAGTAGGTATTAAATTCATTTTAAAGAGATTGTTTTGGTGTCTTTATTCCTTTAGTTATTTATGTTTTTAAAAGACTTATAAATAAAATTTCCAAATACAAACTTACCATTTTTATAGGAATTTTTTAGCTTTCATTTGGAAAAATGTAAAGTTTTAGGAATTAGTTTTCATTATTTTGAAGGAACTGTTTTCGTTGTTATATGTCACTTGTATTAACCTCCTTTAAAAGGGTTTTTCTATATTTAAATTTAAAATTGGTTGCATGCACAGAGAAAATTCTGACGTTCTCATCTGAGTTGAAAATGTTCTTAAAAATAGAACGACATTCTTAAGTTGAAAATGTTTTTGTTTTGCGCGAATCAATTTGAATTGGAGGTATGTCTTTAAATTGTATATCTCAACAAATAAACTTTTAGTTCAATATTGAGAGCATTGATACTAAAATTTATTTACACGGCTTTTAAGAACGAATGTTTTCAATTCAAGAACAATGTTCTTGGATGTTTCGCTCTGTGTGGGTTTTTAAAACCAGTTCAAGTTTGTAATATTTTGTATTTTAATCGGAAAAGTCCCAGCGAGCTTTTAGTACCCTATAATTCCACAGAGGTTCGTGGCCATTCCCTACCGCTGCTGCACCCCTGTGGCTGTGTCAATATTTGCCACAAATTGAAATTAGCAGCGCGTTAAGAGCACCTGTACTCCCGGTCCTTGCCTGGCATTCCGCATCGCGAATACCGAATACCGAACACCGAGTTGCTGATGCCGGGCACATAATCCCCGTAAATTAATATGCTGCACATGTGTCTGGACCAACGGGGACTAACATTCCACCCCCGCTTCCACATCCGCTTCCTATTTTCAGCTGAAGGAGTACGAGCTGAGCGAGGTGTTCAACATTGCCGAGGACGATCGCAAGTACGAGACGGTCCAGACCCAGACCCACCTGGATGCGGAGCACAACCACGTGGAGATGAACAACGAGTTGTCCGCCAGCATCGAACGGGAGCGCCAGACGGAGCAGCAACAGTTGCAGCAGAATGACGACGAGAGGCAGCGAATCCGGTCCCAGCTGTTGGCCAAAATGAATCCCATGTAAGTGCTGCAAATGTGCCATAAGCTACCCTGAAAAAAAACCCATTAGAAAACCAATATCAGAGTATTTTAGAAATGTAATTCGGCAAAAGGAAACTTTTAATAGGGTAAATATCCCACAAAGGATACACTCATAAAAGCTTTCGTTTGTTTACGAAACTTTGTTGCCAATTGCAATTGGCTTTGAGCAACATTGTACCTCAACAATTTAAACTGACCAAAAAGTATTTAGTTACTTGCCGTTTGTAAGCCACTGAATAGTTTTTGAATTTTAAAATTACAAATTGCAATAGTTTTAATATGATTTAATGCTAGCCTAATTTGGTGATTGTGTAAACCTAGGAAATTCACTTACGCTTCATTTGTTATTATTTTCACAGAACAACATGTTAGCTATGGCTATTAAAATGTTGAATATTTTAGATTCTAAGTATTTCATTTGGGTTTCAAATATACATTTTCTTAAGTATTTTAAAAGGGATATTTAGTACACCTTGTTTTATCAAGAAGAACGTAACAGTTCAAGGTTTTCGAACCTCTAGGTCGAATTTTCAGCCTTCAAATGGGTAAAAATGTCACCGTGCTAAGCCAACTATAAATAAAAAGTAAAGAAAATGTGTTATCTTATAATAATCGATTGACAAAAACAAATGATTAATCAATAGATATGGCCGAGTTCCCTCGCCAACTTACCTTTGGTTGTCTCCAAAAGATGTCAGAAAAGTAAAAACCATTTTTATTAAACTCATAGCCAACAGCTTAAACAGTTTTAGGCCAAGAGTAAGCTTTAAATGCCACGTTTCGTATTCGTAATCTGTTTTGGAGTGCAGAAAGCGCTTCAATTGGCCCTATTTAACATATGCGTAAAGTGCTTTCCCCTAACTCAAGACCAACTACTTTCAACACTCTATATGTGTACGTATGCATTCACATATTTAAAGCAACGTGCCAGGCCCCGAAGCTGTTGGAAAAACAAGCGAGTGGGTGGAAGGAAAACAGCTTTCTGGCACACTTCAAAGCACATTACACCACTTTGAAGGCGTTGGGATGGTGGGCGGTGAATGGTGTTGAATGCTAGTGGGGTTTAGTTCTAAGGAACTAAAGAGCCAAAAGGAGAGTGGCCCGAGTGGCACGTACCTGGGTAATGCTGCATCTTTAAAAAGCCGCCCTATTCCTGGGATCCCCAAAACTCCGGACGGGGAAAACTACAACTAATCCCTGCTAACAGTTCCAGTCTCATCCGCATCCGCATCCCCATCCCCTCCTGGGCTCGTTGTCTATTTTCGTGCCACTTTTGGCCAAAGCTGCTGGAGTGGATTTTGGCACCATTGGCACTGGTAACCTGCATATTTAATGACAATCCCCACCAGCCCGGGACGTGTTCGAGTGCCAAGAGCCAAGAGACAACGCCCACTCGCCTTCTTTTCTCTGGCACTCTGACAGGGTCGAAGACAAAGGCCGGGGAACCCAGATATCAGATCTGTATGTCTGCCAAATAACCGGAATACTCGGGCCAGTTCTCGAAGCAATTACTATCTTATCGAAGCCCGCTGTCGCGGGTGGCCTATAAAAGTAGAGGAATTGCCGGCAATCGGGCAAAGAGCTAAGTGCCAGCAACATGTCCGGAATCCCACCAGCCACCTTCACGGTAATCGCAGGTAGTGCAGCCCACAATCAGCGACGCAAGAATCAGAATCAGCAGAAGAGCCAGCAGAAGAATCAGCAGAAGAATTCGACTGGTAAGCGTGCGGAAAACACAGTTAAAATTCGTTCAAACATAAGCCTTAACAATTTTCAGAGGGCCAGACAGAGACACAGGCGGGGTCGAAGGCAAATAGTTGCCACATTGCTTAGATATAGTAACTATCTTATCTGTATAAGGATTTAACGCATGAAAATACATTTCCCATGACATAAACACCGAGTATAAATGGGGCCGAACCAAGCAATTGGGGTTTCAGTTAATGGGCAAAACGAAAACGAGACGGAATACTTAATCGGCGACAAAATGAAAACGACAATTGTGGAGGAGCGGAGTGTTAACGAAACGATAGAAACGATAGCCACTAGTAGTGGCACGGTCCAGGAAGAGATCATCGAGATAGTGAACGTAGATGGTACTCCAGCTCCCAAGCACCGACATCATCATCACCATCACAGGCATCATCATCACCATGAACGTCAGGAGAATGTTGAGGTTGTGGAGAAAGAGGAAGTGATTCTTGTGGAGAGTGGACCAAAACCCCGAAAGCACCATCACCACAAGCAGAGGACCTCACCACCACCGCCCTTGCCGCAAACCTCACCACCATTCCTCACACCCACCGAAGAGGTGGGTTTTAATGTTGTCTGGGAACCCCAGGCCTACTGGAACCAGGCCTCGCCCAATCCCTCCACGGATCTGGATCTCTCGCCGGAAAAAGATGTTGTGGTTACAGAGGAGATTCTGGACACAACTTCGGCTTCAGATGAGTTCACAACTGTGGTCTGGCAAACGGAGACGAAGGAATCATATAGGGAAACCCAAAAGCACACCAGGGTGGTGGAGGAAGAAATCATAATTGACCAGCAGGATCCTCCACCGTATGCACCACCCCAACTCCAAGTGCAGACGGGATTCTTCCCAGTGGCTCAGCAGCCTCCCCTTTCTCCCATTGCAGAGGTGGTACAAACCGATGTTTTTGTGGAGTCAGTGGAGTCTTCTCGCCCGCCAACCGGTTATATTCCCAGAGTGAGTCTTAGCCCAACGGAAACTCTGGTGGAGAATGTCCAGGTCGTAGTTTCCCCACAGATTCAACAGGAACCTGAATTCATTCCCCAACCCGGATTTGTGGCTAGAATTGTGGAGAACATTGAAGTTGCTGCGGCCTCTATTTCCTCGCAGGCCCCAACTCCAAAAAGTTACTATCCTCGGCTGGGTTTGGTGGAAGATATAGAAGTTATAAAAGAAGTTTCCCCCGTGCAGAATGTAAATCAGAGTGGTTATACTCCTGGAAATGTGGTAGTGGAATCAATTGTGGACAATATTGAAGCAGATTCTCCATTTCTTCTTCCACCCAATGGTTTTGATACTGATGAGACGATTGTGGAGAACATTGAAGTATCGACAGAAGTTGATGATTCTCCATTTTTATTGCCAGCTGATGGCTTTGACTCTGCGCCAGCCTCTGTAGAATCGATTATTGAGAATATAGAAGTCATACCATCCGAACCTGTCTTACAGGTACCAGTACAAAGTAATGTCACTGGAGGTTTTGTGGAATCTGTGGTAGAAAACATAGAAGTCGTAAAAAAAGAAGATCCCCCTTTTCTACTTCCAGTTCCAAATGTATATACTCCTCAGGCTGGAAAAGTGGAATCAATTATCGAAAATATTGAAGTAACCACTGAAGTGCAACATCTTTCTAGACTACAAGTACAAAGTGCATATCCACCTCGATCTGGATTTGTAGAGTCAGTTGTGGAAAGTATGAAGGTAACTGAAGAAGTGGATCCTCCCCAACCCGTAGTTTTAAGTGGGCTAGCTACTCAGACAGGCGTCGTAGAATCGATTGTGGAAAACATAGAAGTGACAGAAGAAGTGGATTCCCCTGTGCAACCTCCTGTTCAATTGCGTTTTCCACCACGATCAGGTTTTGTGGAATCGATTGTGGAAAACATTGAAGTCACGGAAGAAGTGGATCCTCCCCTTCGGCCACCACTTCCACTTAGTTTTCCACCTCGTTCAGGCCTCGTAGAATCGATTGTGGAGAACATAGAAGTCACAGAACATAATCCTCCCTATCAACCCCCGCAGCAAATCGACCTTATTCCTGAAACTGGCTATGTTGAAAATATTGTAGAGGATATTGAAATAACACAGCCCGAACCGCCTGTAATTCAAGAAACAATTGTGAAAGAAATTGAAGTAATACCAAATCCTCCACGGCAATCTATAGTGACCACCGATTATATGCCCCGCGCAAGTTTGGTCCAAGAATTGGTTGTGGAGTCACTGGAAGTAACGCCGACATCATCACCTCCACCCGAACAGTTTCCCTTTATTTCCCGGGAAAGCCTAATCGAAGTTGATGACTATGTGGAGGTTGAAGAGGTCACCCCGTATAATACGGCACCACATAGTCCGACGGTGGAGGTGGAAAGATTGAGCGAATCCGAAGCTTATGTGGAGATTACGGAAAACACACCAGTTAATACGCCACCAAGTAGTCCATCACTTCAGAGGCCCATACAAGGGGGATTCCTTCCCAGGCCAAGCCTGGCGGAAACAGCTGTGATTGTGGCATCACTGGAGGTCACCCCTACACCCACACCTCCTCCCAGTCCACCACTGAAACTCAGAATACCACCATCGAATGTGAGACAGTCGGAGGTGATTGTAGAGTCCGTGGAAATTACGCCACTTCAAGCACCACAACCTTTTATTCCACCAGTGAAACCTCTTAATGGTTTTATCCTAACTGATCTGGTAATAGATGATCCTCCCTTCGTAGAGGTGGTGGAAAGGGAAGTAGTTGTAGAGTCTGCCAACGATGGGCAAGTAACTGAGGTCATAGAAGTCACCGAAGAAATCATACAACCTGCCACACCCATGGAAACTGTTTTAGTGGGTGAAGTTTCCGAGCAAAGTAACGACAAGTTTGGCAAGCGATACTCCCTGAATGCAGCACTGGCCGAGGGACCGCAGCAGGAACAAGGAATCCAGGAAACAAATCAACCTACTCCAATCCCAAAACGGGATTCACCCAACGAACCACCGAAACGTAAATGCTGCCACTGCAAATGCACCATTTCCTAAATCAAAAGGTCAGGGGCTTTCCCCAAGGCAAGTATAAGGGACCGTGAATCAGAACCTATACATATCATGTTATTTAAATCTTATCATTAACCGGGTGTTCTTTTGTTATCAGCCTGGGAATGTAAGCTCCGCCTATCGCATATCTAATCAGCGGAAACAGAAGCCCCCCCAAAAAAAATCACAGTAATTGATAGTTAATTACCAGCGGACACTCGAGGCAAAGGCGGAGATAAGAGCCCAATTCAAGAGCCCAATCGACCTGCTGGTCAGTCAGTAGTTACCCATCGGTCGAGATGCCACCACCAGGACGTGGATACGGAGGACCGCCACCCAGGGGTCCTGGAATCGCCTACGGACCACCGCCCCCTCGCGTAAATGTCGGCATCAATATCGGGGGACCACCACCTCCTCCTCGGATGGGAGTGGGCATCGGGTTTATGCCACCGCCGCCGCCAGCTGTGATCATCGGAGCACCACCGCCGCCACCCGTGGTCATGATGCCACCCCCGAGACCCACCGTGGTGGTGGGTGCCCAGCCCCCAATGGCCACTGTATATGCCCAGCCCCAGGGAGAGGTTTTCTGCTGCACGATTCTCTGATGGCGATTCGGAAATGGAAAATACGAAATGGAAAACTGTGCTTCTATATAGAATTATTAACTACGTGTGTACGCCCTAACATAGTGAAATAACATAGTTTGGTTTTAGTCAATTAAAGCTTTTATTCACAAAAAGTCTTTCTTGTTTTTAAAACAAAATGCAATGTTTCCACTGAATGAATAAAACTAATAAGGTGTCCCCTGCTGATTTGCAATGGACATATTAAATAGTCACATTGAAGCCTGACAAAATCCAAACAATTGTCAGTTTATTCATGCAATGTTAGCAAACGAAATTAGTGTATTAATGGCATTTTCCTGTCGCTTTTCAATTTGGAAAACCAATTCGCTTCGGACCGAAGAGCAATTTTCTCGTCACATGTCCGATAGCTGAGTCACAGCCGGAATTTTCCCCGGCTGTGGAAATGCAAATTGCTCCTGGAACAACATTTACTTAATACATTTTGATGTGCTCATCTAACAGTAATTGCCGTGAACATGATCGAAGCAAATTGTCGCTAATAACTTCCATGTTCTCAGGAAGAAAATTCGACAAAAATACTCCGGGCAAAATAAGGCAAAAGGTATTTGTTGGAAAAAGAGAAAACAAAAAACATTATTGTATGTAATTTCAATTTGGGAATTTTCCTCATTATTTTCATTTGGGCCCATGGCGTTCTGAGCCTCCTTCTGGGTGCCTTAATATTTTTGCCAATTTATTTGGCTCTACTCTCTCTCTCCACGTCAAAGTTGCTGAGTTGCCTGTTCGTCTGCCTTTTGATTTTTTATTATTATTTGCGCGATTTTGCACGCGGCATGTGTATGCAAATAAACGAAAAACTGCAGGAAACAAAACACGGAAGTTGCCCAGGAAGGAAGGAAGGATGGCAGGAAGGAAGGAAGCCAGGCAGCGCCACAGCCAAACGTCGTGGATCCGCGAATGTCGGGGTGTTCTGGGGACTGGGTCCTGGGAATTGGGGATTGTGGTACGCGCGTGGGTCCGCCGAAAGTCCCGAGTCCTGGGCTCCAATGGTATAGGGGTCTCCGGTTTCGGTTGCCGGGCTTTTTTGGGCTTTTCGGGGCTCTGTGTCTGCTGTCAGCCGGCACGAAGGCAGGCAAAAGGCAAATTTAAATTGAAATTTTCCACAGTTGATGTGCTGAAATAACAAACGTGAGCAGGCAACGTGCGCACCTTTGAAAGGGAAGGAGTGAAGATGGCGGCGGCACACGGGTCGTATGTGTAATGTGGTAGTCTTTTAGCGTCGGCAAGTTAAGCTACTAAGGCAAATCAGAAAGGTGGGCGAATGACAGGTTGGGTTACAGCTCCCGAGGAGTGCGCTCTGCAAATAGAACCACTTGTGGAGATTAAGAAAATGGAATTTTAATAATTCTAGCCCTTAGGTATTTTAGAGATTATCGTTTAGAAATAGCATAAGAGATTAGGAACTCAAGAGATAAAACGTTTTGTTTGATTAATAATAAAAAACCCTTTCTAAGAACATTAAAAATATTAAATATATCTAAAATATAACCAAATATAACTTATAATAACTAAGACATTATTAGTAATCAGTTGTATAGTTCCTCTAAATTTTAAAAAATATCTAGGTAAGTTTAAGCAGTTTTAGTAATAAACTATTACATTTATTTTTCCGAAAATATAGCTTAAAGCAGAACAGAATATAATTAGAAGAAACAATGCCTTTAATTTGAATAAAATGTTCTTATTAAAATGCTAATAGATCAACAAAGCTAAGCTATGTTTATCCTTAAGTGAAGATGTAACTCATTATCATTTAACTAAATGCAGCAACTAGAGATTTCGATAATCCTTTCCTTCAAAAAATCTAACTAAATTAAATTTCTTGACCTTATCCACTTGCAGCTACGGCGGCAATAACAACCTGCAGCCGGCACCTGGCCAGGTGGTCAGTGTGGTGCCCAAGAACGACAAGCATGCGATCCTGCAGAGCATCGCCAGCAGCTATCGCCGTGCCACAGATGCCAGCAATTTAAACGCCTCCAATCCGACAGCCTCGCAGTCACCACCCCCGCCCGCAGGTGGCAAGGCGGTGCAGGGTGGTTCAGTGGGTGGTGCCACCCGCAGGCGGAGCATGGCGCAGCGGCGTCGTGACTGCCGCGTGAGCCACTGGTCCGAGTGGACGGCCTGCAGCAAAAGCTGCGGCGTGGGCGAGATGCACCGCTACCGCAAGGTCATCAAGCACGGCAAAAGGGGCGGACGGCAGTGCCCGGCGCTCCAGCAATCCAAGTGGTGCGGCACCGAGCGCAACTGTCACGGGTCGCAAACCTATTTTAATTGGTGAGTACCGGGGGATAGCACACTGAGAAAAAAATAAGTAAAATCAAACCTACACAAGCCATAGCTATTTAATGTATTTGACAAGAATCCTTCTTGAAATCAAGACGAAAGTACTCTCATTTTTTTCAGAGAATTAGCCATTTCGAAAAAGGTATCAAAGTAGTCTATCTTTTATATTCTTCTATTTGATAGAAGATTCTTAAACCAAGAACACTTCATATAAATTTTAACAATTTGAGAAAATCAACGTTTTAAAAAACATTTTTTCGGTATTTTTAGTAATAGATAATTAAAAAAATTATTTAAGTCCGGGATAAGAATCCACAAGCATTTTCAATAATAATAGCATTTTTTTCCCTTATACTTTACTTTTCATTTAAATATTTGTGGTGGAAAAAAGTCACATAAATGTGCCACAGATAACACCTAAAAACCGTTGATGAGTAATTGTTTCTTTCTGAGGTCATGACTCAACCAAGCCAACCCATCAATTGCTTACCAATAAAATATATATATATTTCCCCAATTTGATTGCAGGTCCGATTCCGACACATGAACGAGCCACTTGAAGGAGGCACAGGCGATATAAATATAATTTTAATTTAAGGCGTAAGAATTGCTTTTTCTGTGTGAACAAGAAAGACCAGCAAGGCCATAAGGAGTGTGGATCATCCCGCAAGGAGATTTTAATTTAAATTTAGATTATCGAACGAAATTGATTTTAAAGCAGCCGGCAAATGCAGAGACATCAATGGAAAATGGAATAAATTCGAGGCGACGATGGGGAAGACTACTGACAATATTTAAAAAACCAAGAAGGATTTAGACACTGGACAAAAAGGATTGGAGTCATCCGTCAGGCGGATGTCGATTCAAACATTTTTATGTTTATGTGTTCACTTTGATTTCGATTTGTCATTTTGTTGCTTTAGCTCTTAATAATATGTAAAAAATCATCATAAAATATTAAACATGAAGAAGAAAAGGAAAACATTGAACAGTAGACGTACAAAGTTTAGAAAGCAAATCAAAGTAAACCAAAAGCGTGAACATTTGCATACCCAAACAAGGAAAAACGGAAACAAAACCAAATGAAAAACCAAACACAACACACTTTAACCTATAAGCGTGGAGCCAAAGTGTGTTGTTCAGCAACTAAGCTAATATTAGATGTAAATTAAGCTAACTAATAACTTTAAATGGATTGCAATAAAAGTCAACCCCAAAGAAACCTGCTCGAATTCGAATTAAATTAAAAAGGCATTTGAAAACATAGATTCCCAGTTGGTCAGTCGCAATTATATAACTTTAATTTTAAGGTAAAGTCAATAGTTAAAACCGTTTGCCAGTCAATAAGACCTGAAAGATTCCATCGAAATTTCAATACCAATTGTATTCAGTCTCCATTTAAAATACCTTTTCCAAACCAATGGTGTAATATAAAATCATTTATTCAGAATTTTGAACACGGGCATTACCAAAACATAACTAGTTAAATAGTCAATAACAGTTGTGTATGTATCAAATGCGATATCAAGAAGAGCGAAAGCTGTTTTGTGAAATAAATCCCATGTTAGAAGGAGGACAACAAATAAATAATGCAATTCCAACCACCAGATTCCTTAATGGGCTTTACGGTTGCGAATCTTTATCAGCGCGGGCAGCAGTAGTTTCAGTAATCCGGAGCCTATGAGGCACAGTCCCGCAAAGATGAAGGCATAGGTATAGTTTCCCGTAGTGGCAATTAGTTCTCCGCCAATAGTGGTGCCAACAAAAGCACCGACACCCATGGCCAAAGAGGTTATCCCAAAGGCATTGGTCAGCTTTGGCAGGCCCAGATATTTCACATATATAAGTCCTCGCAGGGTGGAGTAGACAGCTAGTAAATAAAGGGAAATAAAATAGGTAGTATTATAATTATGAGAGAAGTGTCAGCGATCAGAAAATATAACTTAGTGGAAGCTCCAGAAATAACAAGGCTGTTTGAAATCTCGTATAATGGTGTCCAAAAGTATGGAGTAAATAGAAAACCTAAAGTCTTTTAAAATGAATCAACCGAACTGCTGACTATAAAGTTTATGGTTTAGGCAGCCTTGATATTGAAAAATTGTTTTATACATGTTCTAAAATTTCTCAATTTTTAAGGATTGCTTATAAGTGTAAGTGTATCATGGCATACTTTCCCCGAAATTTTCAAACTCTTAATAGGGTAAGAAAAGTCCCACATACGTTACCCACCTGGAGCGACACCATAAGAAATGCCGTAGAGGAACTGGAACCAAATCAAGTCCTGACCATAGAAGGCACTGATAAAGACGGCACATCCGCCGTAAACCAGGCCAGCTCCACATATGCCTGTGGTCCAATCACGCCGCTTATAGGCCAGAAATCCACAGACGTTCCGCATTATAACGTTGGTAATCCCGATGGTGGGACCTATAAGCCGCCCATATTCCTTGGGAATCGTGGTACGTGCGAACGAGTAAACGAAGGGTATGTTAAAACCCAGCGGATACAGAAAGGCGGAGGCCACCAGCACCTGGAACTCGAACCTTTTCAGCAGATGGTAATCGAAGAGCTTTACCAGGGTGGCCATACATCGGCCCTGCATCTTCCTTTGCGTTTCAGGTTCTTTAGCCCATCTTCTGCGACTAACTCTGGAAGTAGACGGGTCGTCCTTATCGTCTACATGAATTTTTTTAATGCCGTAGTTTACCTGCTGGGTCTGTAGGTGGAACATTCATTTAGATGGAATTAGAGGCTTACTTTGGGACACTCACATTCTTGTGGAGGTGGATCTCCTTGCCCTCGAGGTGCTCTTTGCTATGAGGCTTTTCGTATTCGGCGGGACCCGTGTAGAAGAGATCATCCCGCTCCATGGGCGCTGGACGGATGAGCAGATTGCGCTCCTCCTCGGGCTCCGCCTTCTTCTGCCTCTTCTCACAGCACTTGGCGAAGCAGGGGCAGAATTTGGCGCACCCACGCTTTTTTTCTGCCGGCTCATACGTGCTAAGGACACTTCGAGTTGCTGCTGTCTGGGTAGACATACGCAAGTAGTCCTGCACATAGAAGTTGCCGTAGTACTCCTCCGAACTGGACTCAGCCAGGTCGGGATGGTGGTACAGGCCCACCTGAGTGGGAGCCACCTCCACGTAGGCAATGGCCATCAGCAGGATCAACATTATCAGTGCCGACTGTGTGCGGAGCATGTTCCTCCAACCGATCATCGGCACCAGATAGCCGTTGAGGAATGTGAAGATGACTATTCCAACACCTCCACCGCTGCAGGAGAATCCAGTGGCCATCGGGCGATATCGCTCAAAGTAGTACCCTACGATCAGCTGGGAACTCGCCCAGATCGTGCTCATGCAGATGCCACCTAGGGGGGGATCCTAAGTTATTCATCTTTTATTAGATTGTGACAGTACCTGGTGATCAACCCACCAAGGACGCTGTAAAAGCATATCAGCATGACCAGGTTGACGCTGAAGCTGGCGAGCAAGACCATGGATGAGGAGGATAGGACCCCGGCGATGGCCACCTTGCGGAAACCAAAGCGGTTGATCAGGATGGCACCAAATATACCGCTCGTGAAGTAGCATCCAATCTGGACACTGGCCACGAATAGTACCTCCGTCATTTCCGCGTCCAGATCCTTGGCTATAAAAGGCAACAGGATGCCAATGGTGAAGATAAGACCGTCGATGATCATCTGGGCGAGGAAGGAGAGCACCATGATCAACCAGCCGAAGCCGCCGTCGGGTGGTATCACCATATAGATCTGCGGAGAGCGGTAGATCCGTTATCCATGTGCTCAGCACCTCTAAAAGTTGGTACCCACTCACTTACAAAAACCATACCAGAGCCCAGTCGTCTTCCGCCGCGGATCAGATCGAAGGACTCCTTGGAATCTTCACTACCCGAGTCGATCAACATTTCGCTGTTCTTCCGCCTATCCGCATCGTATTCGCTGAATGACCCGGGTGATTCGGTGTCCGCCAAAGGATAACCCGCACTGGCCGCGGACACGGACGCGTCCTGTTGGATAATGTCCTTGTCAATGACGTACGAGTCCTCCGAATCGTATCTCGGGACCAAGGGGGCTCCTAGGTGAAGGTTACAAGATTAGTCGGAACAAATGCAATGCATCTGTAAAAGTTTACGGTTTTAAGAGGGGTTCTCTTATATGTTAATATACTATGGCATGTTTTAATTTGAGTCTTATCGATCTTAATAATAAATTAGTGTTCAGTATTTTATTATATAATACATACAGCTACCGCGTGAAGTTCTAGTTTCTTATGCGTTGTCAAAAAGGATTATTAACCTAGTTAATACAATATCTGCCTATATACTGTTCTGATTTTCTTAAAAGATTTTTCTGTGGGCAGATAATACAACTTCTACGGAAAAATAAAAAAAAATCTTAAGCGTAAAAAATACAAAATATATTTATAAAACAATTTCTGGTCTCATTTATTCATTTACCAGGTCTTAAATAATACGGAAAATTTTAAATTCAGATAAGGTGAGTATCCCTATACCTACTAATTTTAAGGTTAAGTACTAATTAGTTATAATTGTTATAGCCACTGAGTTCTAGATAAGCAGTGGGAAGGAACTTACTTTTTTTAAAGAACTTTTGCGTTTTGGTGATGAGTGGTTCCTCCCTATCATATTGTTCCGTGGCACTGATTGAGGTCACGCTCTCCACAGATGCGACAGAGGTGAACTTGGTTCTAGAGTCTTGGGCGATGGAAGACGGAGCAAAGCTGGACGGAACAGATGAATCTGAAGAATTCCGATCGGTTTCTATAGATACGGGGGTCCGTTTAACAGATGGAGGTCTTCCAATGGAAGTGAGAGATTTCTCAAAAGTGGGCTCCACATACGGCACTTCGGAGATCGGTTCAATGGGGCTGGAGGTCGGTGGTTTGGTATCCTTAGGCTCATTGCCTTCTGAAGCCTCCACAAGGATGTGGGGAAAAGTTCTGAGAGGCAGGTCTCCTGTACTCCAGTGCAACCGTCTAAGAGAAGACCTTGAAGTGCTCCAATCGAGGATTATTGAACTGGGAGTCCTTGCATTGGTCCCCACTGCCACATCGACCATCTGCGGTAGATCTGTCTGCGTTTCATTCTCGTAAATGGACGAGGTTTGCACCAACAGATCCTGCCCGGACAAGGATCTGGACCTCAATGTGGTCCTTCTACTTCCATTTTGCACTGCAGGGGTGGTCTGGTCTTCATCTGATGGCACCGAGCTGCTGGGTAAGCTGGGAAACGAAGGGCTTGGTTCAGGAGGAGTTCTCAAAGGACGGGCACACTCACCTCCGCCTACGATTCTTGCTCATTTTTCGACTCTGTCGCAGCGTGTTCCTGACATCTTTCACAAATCTCTCTGCGTCTCGAACCCAATCCACAGTGACTGGCTACGTGTCTGGCTGCGATATGAGAAACTCCCACCGAGGAGGGAATTCGTGGGATTCGAATTGGAAGTAGGATTCGGGGACTGTCGCCAGACATTAGCTGCTCCTGGTTGCCAGGCAAGCGCGACAGACAGAGTTGGTAACCCCCTTCAGAAAATTCCCTCCAGCAACTGTTACTTTCTGCCATCTCCATCATCTCTCTTCCCCAGGCGAATCCCCACTGCCACATCCCGATCCCAGTTCAATTCTACACCCGCCCGCCTGTTTATTTTGGGGCCAAAACAAAATTGCATCAGTGCAATTTCATTGATTGCAAGTAAATGAAATCATTCCGTAGTCGTCGGAGTTCTACACAGAGTGGAGTGGGCTAAAGTGCATCTCAGCTTTAAGGGCAGTAACTTCATTGCCAGTCACTCAATGGCAACAAAAGATGAAGTGTTGGGGTCGCCGGTCTTCCCAGTTGATTAAATGGAAAGTGAAGCTAGCCAGATGTTGAATTTATGAAATCCCCACCGCCGTAAAAGTTGAACTAAGCCAGCCCTGCTGGAAATGTTCTCGCAAAATAAATAACAAACAAAATGCACTAATTAATTAGCGTAAAGGCTTCTGACCAGCAAACTTTCGACCCCCAACCACTTGAGCTTTTCCCTCAAACAGCGGGATTTCCCCCCGTTTTCCCGCGGGTAAGCTGCGATTGCAGCGGCTATTTTCCACGACCAACAACTCTATGCGGAAATTGTTTTTTTCCAAAAGGTTCGCTCGTACGTGCCCGTTTTTTATGGCCCACGTTGCTTTTCCTATTTCT